TGGGGGGGGGGGGAAGGCTGGTGAGAATCCATCAGGCATGCAAGCCTGTGCTTTTCCCATTGCAAATAATATTTTATTTAACAGGATAGCTCTGGGTTGTTGCATTTAATGACACCAAGCCTGAACAGCAGCAGCAGGGGAAAAAAATAGCTGTTTGATGTTGTTAAATACCAGTCCCTCCTATCAGGGAACCTATTTTAAAAAGAGGATCGTTTTTATGGGTAGCCAGGAACTGCAAGAAAAGAAATGAAAGAGCAAAAGAGGAGGGGGGGGGGGGAAGGCCCGCAGGATTAAAAAATGGAATTAGAAAAACCAAGTTAAGTGTGCAAAGCTGAGTTTAAAATTTGTTCCCAGCCATGCCATGCCATAAAATCAAATAAATCAACTTTCCACAGGGCTGTCTCTGAATAAAACAGAATGTGGCAATGAGCAGTTCTGAATCATTTAGTCTAAAAGGAGGGAAGTTTGCATTTATACCCAGCAGGAGCTGCATAGTCCAAAGCGAGTAGCGGTTTGGAAAAGATAATCACTCCAATAAGTATCCAGTCCTCATATGAAAAAGTAACAGGAGAAGATACTTAGCAGCCGCTTCAAAATGTAATTCTGTGGTTAGACAGCTCTGCCTCTCCCGGAGAACCCAGTTAAAAGCAGTAAGGTGTCTCTTCAGATAATTAAAAGTGTGTGTGTGGAGGGGGGGGGGAAATATATGTGCCAACTTTGGCTGCATATTAATAGTGCATGAGTTATAAAAACAATAATTGAGTGCATTGTGAAATCTAATTAGTTTGCACCGTAGTTTAACCTGCGTGAGTAATAAACCTGATATTAGCTCTGGAGGCTAAATCTGTTTTTCGCCAAAAAAGAAAATACACGCTTTCTAATGCGTGCCATACTTCAGCTCAGGCTGCTAACTTTGAGGCGGCATCCGGTGGCAAACTGTGTTGGACCCCCTAGAAGTTGTGCAGTCAGGTTTATTTATTATTCCCCCCCTCCCCTTGAAATGATTCCTTGTGTAACTCCTTGGAAAGCTTGGGAAAGTGGCCACGCGATAAACATATGAATGGAAGCAGGACCTGTAAAATAATTACTCATCGGAGTTTTTTAAAAGCCTGATATCAGGAAACAGAGGCGGGGGGGTGGAAATGTGGTGGATGGGAGAACTCACAATCCAGTCCTTGTTGTGTTAAAGGGGGGTCTGGGGAACCAAGTCATTTTCTGGACCTTGTCCAGGTTCTGGGTCGTGACCTAAACTTCCTTTTATTTATTATTGCTTTACACATAAAAACTCCCCCCCCCCTCTATTTTTCCCCCCAAATTACTTGTGCTAAAGTCCTAAGGTGATCAATTAGCAGGGAGCATCAGCCCAAGCAGGAGCTGAGCGGGGCCGCTTGGATGTGAGGCGCTGATTTTATTTTGCTGTCATTTACCAAGGGAGGCATTTTTCTTCGCCTCTTGCTCCCATTTCCAACACACACAGACAGAGCCCGGACCCAAGACACCCACCCACCCGGAGGAGTCTTATTTCCAAACCTGGAGATCTACAAATCGCTTCTTTTTTTTTGAGCCTTTCGAGACAACAATCGTCCCAGACTGTCGTAACTGTTTAATTTATTGCCAGTTGCAAAATGTGAAGCCTGGCATGCAAATCGCCTCCCCACTAGATAAATGTGGCTGTTATCTGGTTCTGGGCGAGATACACGCGTAGAGAAAAGAGATGTCGAGAAAAGGGGATGCGTGCAACTTCCCAGCACCCCTGAGCGAAAGCAGACACCCAAGGATGCAGATGATGTTTGCTGCTGCCTTTTTTCTCCCCCCCCCCTTTTATTTTTTAAATCTGAGTTTTAATGACTCGCAGAATATGCATGTGTTAGTCCTGTGCCTAGGAAGCCACAGGGAGGTCAGGTCACAACCTGGGCTCTTTCAGCACAGACGTCTCCGATTTAAAGGGAACTTATTGTATTTTAGCGAACGGAGAGGGGGTAATGTTCAGAGCCTACCAGGGAGTTTTGTTTTTGGGGTTTTTTTTAACTTGTAGGGGCCTTTGGGGTTTAAAAATAAAGGAGGAGAAGAAGGGCGAGGGGAAGGGAAGGGAAAGGAGAGAGAGAAAGAGGGAAGAGAAAGAAAAGAAAAGCAGGGGGAAAGAAACAGCTCAGATGAACAGAGAGATCACAGTTTGCATGGCTGCCCCTGAATAGGCTAAACTGACAAGATCAGTTTTAAAAGGCCACTTAAATCAGTTTCAAAGGCCGGAGGAAAACGCGCTGTCTCTTTTGGGGGAGACGCGCTAGCTGGACCCGGGCGCCCTGCTCTCTGGCCGGGCCAGGGCCGGGCGGCTCGGGATTTGGGGCACGGGGTCGACAACATGTTGAGGACCCTGGTTTCTTCTTTCGACCCCTTTGATCCGATGTCTTTCTCGAGTGGGGTGGAAAGAGTGGTTGATCCCATCTCTCCCTTCAACCTTTGCAAGGGGGAAAAAAAAATATGCCTCTCCCCACCCCCCACCCCTTTTCCTCCCCCCTCCCATCTCAGTGTCAACCCTTCAGGTCTCTAGCGCAATTAAAGACCTCAGATCTTGGAGCTGTGTTTAATTCTAAAGCAGACCCTCCGGATACACACATCTCTATTTTCTCTTTGGCTAAAACATGCTTAGGTCTAAGGAAGGGGGAGGGAGGGAGGGAAGGAGGGCGGCGTGGGGGGGACTCCACCGGCTACCAGCTACACTTCATTTGACCAGGAATAATCATTACAATCAAATTCTTTAATCTGATGACTGTTTTTTTTTCTTTTTCTTTTTTAATAAACTTTCTTCTAGATGCCTGTGGTCTCTCTGATGTAGCCCATGTTGAAAGTTTACAGGAGAAGTCACAGTGTGCTTTGGAAGAATATGTTAGGAGTCAGTATCCGAACCAGCCAACACGATTCGGAAAGCTTTTACTACGCCTCCCCTCCCTCCGCACTGTCTCCTCTTCTGTCATAGAGCAGTTGTTTTTCGTCCGTTTGGTAGGTAAAACCCCCATAGAAACCCTAATCAGGGATATGTTACTGTCTGGCAGCAGTTTTAACTGGCCTTATATGTCCATTCAATAAAATAATGGAGAAAAAAATTAAACTAAAATGAAAATACTTTTTTTGTTTGTTTGAGAAGGCAGATGAAAGAGAGAGAGAATGACATTTGGGGTCTGGTGGTTTCTTAAATTTCCTTCTGCTAAGAAAGGATATAAAAGGATGTTACAAGTTTTGCTAAAAGAAGACAGGAAAAAAAAATAATGGACTGTGAATTTAAAAAAAAAAGACTGTCATATGAACTTTTACAGAATGCATTAAAAGCAACTCCCGTGTCGTTCAGAAAAAATAACTTGCTACTTATCTTTTTTTTTTTTTGTAAAAAACAAAAAATTTCAAAAAAAGAAAGAAAAAAAGAAAAAAGAAAAAGAAGAAGAAAAGAAAGGAAGGGTGGGTGGCTTTTTTCTTTTTTTTTCTTTTTTCTTTTTCTTTTTTGGGGGGGAACTTTTTAAAAAAAATATCTCGCTAAAAGTGCATTTAAAGGAAATCTGGAGAAAAATTAGCAGAATGGAAGAAAGTAAGTCTTTTTTTTCCAAATTATTAATTGTCCTATGTGTCTATGTACCTATAGCTGTTCTTTTTTGTATTTTTCTGGTTTCAAACCAGTTTATTCTGTGGTTCTATAATAATTTTTGATATAATCTTGGCTTCTTTAAAAAATGTGTATCCATAAAATATATGTTCTGAAAGAATTAAAACTGAGTCCATGAAAGTATCATAGGAAGAAAGGAAAAGAGAAAACAAAAAACTCAACAACACAATGATGAAAGCGCACTTATGGTGGTGACCCGAAATATTAGCTGGAAGCTGAGAGAGCTATAATTATATAGACCCGAATGAACCACACGTGTCACATAAGTACCCCGAAAACTAGGTTTTTGATATTTCAGACAGAAAATGAACTGTGGGGATTTACTGTAGGTAGAACGGATTGTGTCCAAGACACACTACGGTTTTGATTTAAAAAAAAATAAAACAACCACACAAACAAAGTGAACTTTTGTAATTGGAATTGGGTTCCACATAGTTCTTCATGAATTGTTATGAAACTCCTCTATCTGTTTGTATATTTGCAAGCCCTTTGTATTATAATAATTGTTGATATTTTCCCTTTTTAAAAAATACCATTGAAATCAGCATGACAAAATAACACTGTTGGCACTTATAGATAACGTGATTGATTCAGTATCTTAGAGTTTACAGTTTTGTGTTTAAAAAAAACTGAAGGTTTTTTTTTAAGTGCAACATTTCTGTATACTGTAAAAGTTATAATAACTGAACTGTTTGGTCGAGTCTTTGTGTGTTATATTCCAAGGAAAATTGAAAGTATTCAGAAATTAAAATATTATTTGATATCTGAAACCCGTTTGGCTGTCATAAATGTCTTTCAGAAATCACATTACTGCTCTAGAGTTTTGCAGCCCTTGTGAGTCCATAGGCGATTGATTTGTTTACTTGTCACAGTAAGTTTGTAGCAGCCGGATGGTAGCGTCTCGTTCGGGGCTGGGGATGGGGGACTTTTTAAGTGCGTGGTTTATCTGTGTTTTTAGGAAGTGCTGTGCTGAAATGGTAAACCATCAGCCCCCATTCATCTAATCCTCCTGTTAATTAAAAATGGATTTTCTAGAAAAGGCCCTTATTTTTGTCACACTTAAGTGCCTGCATAGGAAAGGTATTGTTGTGAAAAGTAGTAGAAATCTGGAGCTCAGTACCTATTTTATGATCAGACTGGGGCGGGGTGGGGCGGGGGGAAAAAAGAAAAGAAAAATCTTTTGTAAATCT